AACCTCTGGAGGCAAGTTGTTGCACTGGTTAATTGGCCAGTTTTGCTCACCATATTACAAAAATGATGTTGAGATTTTGGAAAAAGTGCAAAGAAGAGCAACTAAGATGATTAAAGGCCTGGAGACTAAAACGCATGAAGAGCAGTTGCAGGATTTGGGTTTGGCTAGTCTAGACAAAAGAAGGACTGGGGGGGGGGACACGATAGCAGTATTCCAGTGTTTGAGAGGTGGCCATAAAGAAGAGGGGGTCAATTTATTTTCCAAAGCACTAGAAAGCAACACAAGTTTGCAATAGTGAGGAATATCTGGAATTCAGCTTGTAGAATGAGGGTGAAAGTGCGCCCTCCAAGCTTGTGGGTTGGTTTCTGAATGTTTCATTACGAGGCTAGGTAACATATTCAGTGGAATTTAGCGGATGTCAGCATCTGCGCTCTTCTGTTTATAAGGTTTGGGTACCGTATTTTCCAGCGTATAAGACGACTTTCTAAAGCGCAGAAATTGGCGCTGAAGTCGGGGGTCGTTTTATACTCCGAGTCGTCTTATACGCTGGAAATTATGGTAGTTTCCGGCAGATAAGACTTTCTAGGCATGGAAATCGGCGCTGAAGTCGGGGGTCGCCTTATACGCCGGGTCACCTTATACGTCGGTAAATACGGTATGTCAAGTGAGGATCTGGTGATGGGTCAGGTGTGAGTCATCAGAGAGGCTTGTGATGAGTCTTGTGATGGGGAGGTTACTTCAGATGAGGGTCATTGGAGGGTAAAAGGCGGGTGTCAAACTGCCGGCCCACGGGCCGTTTGCATCATGCGGACGCTGCGCCCATTTGAGCTCCGGCAATGCAAAAAAAGTCATGATATGTCCCGTCGCGCGGCGAGTTTGGCACCCGTGGTATAAGACATCAGCGGGTCAGGTGTGAGTGTGGAAGGGTATAACAATCTTGACAGTTGTTTGTTTTCAAGATCCAATCTCCCTCTCAATTGCTAGAGAGTTATGCAGAAATGGAGCACAGCCACGTGTGCTCGCTCACACCCCGGTTGAAAGAGTAAGGATGTGCGTGCACTCGTCCATGGCTCAGTTGCAAAGCCCTCAGGCCCCACAGGTTGGGGATCCCTGCCTTAAATGTTAAGTATCAGCAGAAAAGTCAGAAACAGAATTGGGGCGAAGTTTGGAGTTCAGATCAACTATTTGCCTCTGTTTAAGAGCCTTCCTTTTTAAAGTTTCATCTTCCTATGGGGTAGAAAATGAAGAATTGTGCATAAAAATCGCTTCTGCGCTTGTTTCTCCCCAATATGTGTTCTTCCATAGGAATTAAGGATGCTTCGGGTCTGAAGCGCTTCCAGCATGTCATGAAGGATATGAGTTCCCTTCTATGTGGATCCTTTAATGAGATACTTTTCACATCAAAGCTCCATTAAGACTCCCTTCATTTACATGTCTTTTTATGGAAAGTAAGCCCCAAAGCTGCTTGTTCAGGAGACAACTGCACTTTTATTTATTTATTTATTTATGAGACTTATATACCGCTTTAAGTGCAAGCACTCTCTAAGCGGTGTACACCAGTAAGCAATGTGTGTGTGTGTGTGTGTGTGTGTGTGTGTGTGTGTGTGTGTGTATATGTAGGTCTTTGGTTGTTCGGGTTTTCTCCCACGTAAAATTGGAAGTGTCCTGGCGACGTTTCGACGAAGTCCCATTCGTCATCTTCAGGCTGGTGCTTTCAGCTTCGTGCCTCGAAGCTGAAAGCACCAGCCTTAAGATGACGAATGGGACTTCGTCGAAACGTCGCCAAGACACTTCCAATTTTACGTGCAATAATATATATATATAATATATATATATATATATATATATATATATATATATAAAAATAGCTATTCATATATAGAATAGCTATTCCTGGGTACATACATTTCAGTAAAAAAGGAAGCGATCACCAGGAAGTAAAACACCAAGGTTTTAATAAATAAAATCAAGCTTTCGATGGCTAACATCTGCCATCATCGTCAGGATACAAGCCAGTTAGTGAGGAAACCTGCTTATAAGCATAGCCACACCTAAACTCTACACATGGACCTTGGACCTGTTACAAGGTCCATGCGTAGAATTTAGGTGTGGCTATGCTTATAAGCAGGTTTCCTCACTAACTGGCTTGTATCCTGACGATGATGGCAGATGTTAGCCATCGAAAGCTTGATTTTATTTATTAAAACCTGGGTGTTTTACTTCCTGGTGATCGCTTTCTTTTTTACTGAAATATATTCTGGGTCCTCATTTTACCTACCCCGGAAGGATTGAAGGCTGAGTCAACCTTGAGCCGGTGAGATTTGAACCGCTGACCTGCTGAACACAGTCAGCTAAAGTGGCCTGCAGTACTGCACTCTAACTGCTGCGCCACCTTTTTGTTTCTCTTTGAAGACATTTCACTTCTCACGCAAGAAGCTTCCTCAGCTCTGACTGGGTGGTGGGGAATTAAGAAGGATTTATATTCCTTGCAGACAGCTGGTCATTTGCATTCTTTTAGAGAGTCCTTGAGGCCATTTGGAGGTTTATCTGCATCCTCAGGATGGCCTGAGTGGTGCAAATGGGTGTGGAGTCTTCTTGGCTGTAGGATGTTTTCTGTCCTTCGCTGTTGAAGACAAGCACAGGTCCAATCAAAGGGTGTTTATCTCAAAGTACATAGCTAAATGTCTTCAAAGAAAAGAAAATGTCTTCAAAGATGTTTGTAAAAGAAGGCAAATGACAAGCTTTCTGCAAGGAGTATAAATCCTTCCATTCCCCACCATCCAGTCAGAGCTGAAGAAGCTTCTCGGAGGAGAAACGAAACGTCTTTGAAGAAAAACAAGAAAGTCCAGTTGCCTCCTGAAAAAGCACCTTTGGGACAACCATGATCTGGATGACTGAGAATCTCCATAGATGTATGGAAAGTAAGGTTTCTGGTGCTTCAGAAACACTTTCCACATTCAGTGTATTTCTACAGTTTCTTCCAGCTAAATCAATTTATGGGAATAAACAAACAAGAGGCACCGAAGCACTTTATCACCTTGAGATATTCATAGTAGTTTCTCCAATGAGCAAATCTTTTAACAAGAAAAATAAAGTTTTATTTTATTTTTTTATTTTTTAAAAAAGCTCTTTCCACGCTTGATACATTTAATGGCTTCTTCGGTGAATGAGTCTTTCCACCGATTTTACGTGACTGATTCTAACTAATTACTTTTCTACGTTCAACTCTTTTACTTTGCTCTTATGTCAATAGTAAGCCAGCAGGAACCATGTATAAGATGGGCAGCTATACAAATAAAAAAAAATAGATGAAAGAGGTGCTACAACATACACAATTTCCCACTTTAAGTAGAACCATGTTTTGAATCCTCTTACATCTTAAATCAAGAGTTCTCCAATGTTTTGCAGACCGGCAGGGGAGAGAGGGTTTGGTTTGCATAAGCAGCTGGCAAGTGCGTGCACAGCTCCATTTACACGAGCAACGTGCACGCACACCTGCGCCTCGCGCACCTGGAGCACAGGAACGTGCGCTCGCTTACACACCGCTTGAGTGAGAAAGGATGTGGGTGCACTCGTGCCGGCCACGAGTGCACGAGTGTGTGTTATGAGTGTGGAAGGGTATAACAATCTTGACGTTTGTTTTCAAGATCCAATCTCCCTCTCAATTGCTAGAGAGTTATGCAGAAATGGAGCACAGCCACGTGTGCTCACTCACACCCCGGTTGAACGAGTAAGGATGTGCGTGCACTCGTCCATGGCTCAGTTGCAAAGCCCTCAGGCCCCACAGGTTGGGGATCCCTGCCTTAAATGTTAAGTATCAGCAGAAAAGTCAGAAACAGAACTGGGGCGAAGTTTGGAGTTCAGATAAACTATTTGCCTGTTTAAGAGCCTTCATTTTTAAAGTTTCATCTTCCTATGGGGTAGAAAATGAAGAATTGTGCATAAAAATCGCTTCTGCGCTTGTGACGCGTTGTTTCTCCCCAATATGTGTTCTTCCATAGGAATTAAGGTTGTTTCGGTTCTGAATCGCTTCCAGTATGTCATGAAGGATATGAGTTCCCTTCTATGTGGATCCTTTAATGCAGTGGTTCTCAACCTTTTTAATGCCGCGACCCCCAACTGGTCGTAAGTTGAGGACTACTCAACCGGTCGTAAGTCGAGGACTACTCAACTGGTGCAGCACCGTTTGCAGAATGGGACTTTTGGCGGGCTCAGCAGGGCAGAGACAGCCTGACAATTCCTATTGGCTTTTGAAAGCCAATAGAATTAGACTCTATTCAAGAGAGTCTATTCTATTGGCTTTCAAAAGCCAATAGAATAAAAGGGAGTAGCACAGCTAAGGAAAAGGGGAAAAAAATGGCGGACTGCGTTGTTTGGCGACCCCCATGAAATGGTCGTTCGACCCCAAATGGGGTCCCGACCCACAGGTTGAGAACCACTGCTTAAATGAGATACTTTTCAGGTCAAAGCTCCATTAAGACCCCCTTCATTTACCTGTCTTTTTATGGAAAGTAAGCCCCAAAGCTGCTTGTTCAGAAGACAACTGCACTTTTTTGTTTCTCTTTGAAGACATTTCACTTCTCACGCAAGAAGCTTCCTCAGCTCTGACTGGGTGGTGGGAATCAAGAAGCATTTATATTCCTTGCAGACAGCTGGTCATTTGCATTCTTTTAGAGAGTCCTTGAGGCCATTTGGAGATTTATCTGCGTCCTCAGGATGGCCTGAGTGGTGCAAATGGGGGTGGAGTCTTCTTGGCTGTAGGATGTTTTCTGTCCTTCGCTGTTGAAGACAAGCACAGGTCCAATCGAAGGGTGTTCATCCCAAAGTGCATAGCTAAATGTCTTCAAAGAAAAGAAAATGTCTTCAAAGATGTTTGTAAAAGAATGCAAATGACCAGCTTTCTGCAAGGAGTATAAATCCTTCCATTCCCCACCATCCAGTCAGAGCTGAAGAAGCTTCTCGGAGGAGAAACGAAACGTCTTCGAAGAAAAACAAGAAAGTCCAATTGCCTCCTGAAAAAGCACCTTTGGGACAACCATGATCTGGATGACTGAGAATCTCCATAGACGTATGGAAAGTAAGGTTTCTGGTGCTTCAGAAACACTTTCAACATTCAATGTATTTCTACGGTTTCTTCCAGCTAAATCAATTTATGGGAATAAGCAAACAAGAGGCACCGAAGCACTTTATCACCTTGAGATATTCATAGTAGTTTCTCCAATGAGCAAATCCTTTAACAAGAAAAATAAAGTTTTATTTTTTTTTAAAAAAAAAACTCTTTCCACGCTTGATACATTTAATGGCATCTTCGGTGAATGAATCTTTCTACCGATTTTATGTGACTGATTCTAACTAATTACTTTTCTACGTTCAACTCTTTTATCTGGTTTCTCACCAGTATGTGTCCTCCTATGGTAGTTAAAAGCACCACTACGACTGTAGCATTTTCCACACTCCATACACTTATATGGTTTCTCTCCTGAGTGAATTCTTCTATGCATGTGAAGGGAAGTATTTTGACTAAAGCATTTTCCACACTCCCCACATTGGTATGGCTTTTCACCTGTGTGGGTCCGCTTGTGGGAACCACGGTCACGGGAAGTCCTAAAGCCCCTTCCACACACTACACACTTATAGGGTTTTTCCCCAGTGTGGATCCTTTCATGGGAAACAAGTTCTTGAGGATCACTGAAGCTCTTTCCACACGCTGTGCATTTGTATGGTTTCTCCCCTGTGTGGATTCTGTAATGTATTATTAAAGTTCTTTTTTGACCAAAGCCTTTTCCACATTCCTTGCATTCGTATGGTTTCTCTCCGGTGTGGGTCCTTTTGTGGCAAACAAGGCCCCCCGAGCCGGTGAAGCATTTGTCACATTCGGTGCACTTATAAGGCTTTTCCCCTGTGTGGATCCTTTTATGTTTATTAAGGTTACTTGTTTGATTAAAGCACTTTCCACATTCGGAACATTGATATGGTTTCTCTCCAGTGTGGATATTGTTATGGGAAGTTAGGTGGCTGGATTTGCGGAAGCTCTTTCCACACTCCAGGCATTTGTACGGTTTCTCCCCTGTGTGGATCCGTTCGTGGGCATAAAAGCCACCAGAACTGGCAAAGCGCTTTCCACATTGCAGGCATTGAAAGGGCTTTTCCCCCGTGTGGCTTCTGCGATGGGCAGTAAGTTTTTCTGAGGCACGGAAGCTCTTTCCACACTCCATGCATTGAAATGGTTTTTCCCCTGTGTGGATCCTCTCGTGTGACTGAAGATGCACTTTTTGACTAAAGTTGTTTCCACAGTGCAGGCATTTATAAGGTTTCTCCCCTTTATGGAACCTGTTATGTAAGATTAGAGTACCGCTTCTGGCAAAGCTTTTCCCACACTCCAGGCATTCATAGGGTTTCTCCCCCATGTGAATTGTCTTATGAGAAGTAAGGGCACCGGGGGTCTTGAAGCATTTTCCACACTCTGTGCATTTATACGGCTTCTCTCCGGTATGGATCCTCTTATGTAAATTGAAATTGCCATTTTGGGTGAAGCTCTTTCCACACACTGTGCAATGATATGGTTTTTCCCCAGAATGGATCCTATTATGATAAGTGAGGTGAGTTGCAGAACGGAAGCTCTTCCCACATTCCAGGCATTTACATGAATCATTCCCAGTGGGTTTTTTTTTCCAGGAATTCTGTTCCTGGCTCTGGGTAAGCTTCATTCTACCCTCCCTGAATTGATACTTCTCCTTGCTGTGGATGCATTGATGGGAAGTTAGAGAGGTGCTCCTTCCGAAGCTCTTTCCGCAGGTGATGCATTGATGCCGCTTCCTCCCTTTGTGGATCCTCTGATGGGAATTCAGGTGACTTTTCTGACTGATGTTTTCTCCAAATTCCAGGCATTTGTATGGAGCCCCTGTTTTGGGAATGTTTTTATGGGATGTGAGGGAATGGCTTGTACCGAAGTTTTCCACATACTCCGTGCATTTGTACAGTTTATCTCCTTCTTGTATTTTCTGATGAAAAGTAAGAGGAAGGGTCCTTCTCGAGCATTCCCCGCTTTCACTTTGTTTCTCTACACAATCACATAATCCCAATTCATCTCTGGGTATTTTTCCGCACCCTGGACATGCTCCTTTTTCTTGGGGATCATCACTGTGCAAGAGAGAGCCGATATCTGCACACTGGAAACTAGAGTATTTCTTCAGCTCCTCCTTTTCCACAAGCCTTTCCTTTTCACTCATCTTTTCCGCATCTTCCTTTTTGACTGTTAGAAAAGGTGTTGCCACTGCTTGGCTAGAACCCTCTATCTTCACATCACCACCTATTTGGGGGAGAACAAAAAGGATACATGACACAAATGGTGGTGTAAAAGGAATTAAGCATCATTTGTTGCATCCCTTATTTGAACATTCCTGAAACTCCCACCACCATTTCTATTTTTCTCTTAGCTCTGTTGAAAGAAAAGTCTTTATCCTGGTTCATCCAAGTTGGGGATAAATAAAGAATATGGCAACTGCTTTAGAAAGAAGGTAGCAGTTTATTGAAAAGCCAGAAAGATGGTTCTTGCAGGAAAGACCAGAGAAAAGAAGGGCCTGAGCACATGGGTAGTACTGTATATGCCGGCGTACAAGACAACCCCCGTCTTTGACGCCGAGTCGCATTCCTAGAACGTCGTCTTATCCGCCGGAAACTACCAGTATTTCCGGTGTATAGGACGACTTGGCGTATAAGACGACCCCCGTCTTTGGCGCCGATTTTAACGCTTGCGGAAGTCGCCTTATACGTCGACATATACGGTAGGTTTTTGTACCCTATCTAGCCTTTTGTTTGAAGTGGTTCCTGTTCCTGTTTCAGGCTTTGTATTTCCTGTGTCATGTAATCTGACCTAGGTGTGCCTTTCTGGTATTTGTGAGTTAATTCTACCATGTCCTCTCACAGGTGAGGTATGCAGATTTTAGGTCTTTGTCTTCTTGAGCTTCTGGCTCAAACTTTCCTGATGGTTTACACCTGCATTTGTACAGAGCTGGCTTCTGCTTGGGGAAGGGAGACCTGGGGCTATCAAGAAAAACTGGGCATGCTTTTCTGTCTCTTTAAGATCCTTGAAGGAAATATATTTTTCTGCCCTTTTAATATTTCCTTCTCTGGGGAGTTGACTTCCCACAGCTCTTTTTGTGATTCTTCTCCCTGCTTCTAGCAGGCCGTGTTCAAAACATGGTATTAGGTTCATATCTACAGTAGTCACAGGCTTCCCTCTTGCCGCCTGTACTGCAGAATACAAATCCCTAATGCTTTGGGGAAAATCATTTTTGAGTCTCAGGGTGGGTCCTCATCAACTCTGCTTCTCCTTCAGGTTCAGTTCAAAGGATACAGGAGGGACTTTTGAAAGCTGACTTTGTTCAAAAATTGGATGATGAGAGAGAACAGGTTCACCAAATTTACATTGGAGAAAGGGGAAGCATCGACTGATGTCTCCTGCTTGAGCAGGGGGTTGGAACAGAAGACCTCCAAGGTCCCTTTCAGGTTTATTCTGATTGATGGGTGGATGGATGTCCTAACTCTGCTTGAGGAAGTTTTCCCTTGAAAATACCGGTTTTCAGTTTGGACATGTTCATTCTCCCCTAGTTGTCCCTAAGGAAGATCTCCATGAAAATGGGGGGGGGGGCGCTTGCTGGCATCCTGCCACCCATGGCTAGGAGAAGGGAGGACATGGGGGACAAATGGGCAATTAACCTGTGTGTGTACATGATGGGAAACAGGGAGGAGGGGAAATGGAAGTACAAAGAAGCTCTGAAACAGTTTGTACCAGCACCTGAAGCCATGTACCCTGAGAAAGAATGTGGATTTCCCCAAACATCTCAGTGTTCTCAAAATACCTAGGTGGATCCTTATTGCTTGAAGATGGACTGGTCATGGGAGGAGGGCTGGGAGGAGGGAAAACCATTTGTATCTCCTAATCAAGGGGAGAAGCAACCTAGAACTAAGAAAAAATATTCCTGACAGTTGGAACAATTAATCAGTGGGAAAACTTGCCTCCAGAAATTGTGACTGCTCTAGAGATCGGACAACCATTTGTCTGAAATGGTATAGGGCAGGGGTAGGCAACCTAGGAGCCGAGGTGGCGCAGCATTTAGAGTGCAGTACTGCAGGCCACTTTAGCTGACTGTGTTCAGCAGATCAGCGGTTCAAATCTCACCGGCTCAAGGTTGACTCAGCCTTCCATCCTTCCGAGGTAGGTAAAATGAGGACCCAGATTGTTGGGGGCAATGTAAATATATATATATATATACATACATTGCTTATTGGTGTACACCCCTTAGAGAGTGCTTGCACTTAAAAGCAGTATATAAGTCTCATAAATAAATAATAAATAAATAAACCTCAGCTCTTTTATGATTCATGGACTTCAACTCCCAGAATTCCCGTATGAGTCATAAAAGAGCCGAGGTTGCCTACCCCTGGTATAGGGTTTCCTGCCTGATCAGGGGGTTGGATTAGAAGACCTTCAAGGTCCCTTCCAACTCTGTTATTCTATTCTATTCTGTTCGTTTCTGTCCTGTTCTACTCTTAATTCTTATTCTATTCTATTTTCTACTCTTAATTCTTATTCCATTCCATTCCATAAATTTAGTTGTAGTCTGACTCTACTGCAACCAACATTTCTTTAGTAAAAGAACCGATCATTTCAATTAAATGGAGTTGAGATGCTTTCTTTCCTAAGAGATCGGACTGGGGCAAGTCTGACATCAGCAAAATGAAAGCCATTCCTAAGACTACAAAGTGAAACAGACAGGATGAGAAACTGCATGGGAGAACACCTCTCTCTCCTCCTCCTGGAGACAGTGTGGAGGGTTTAATTCATCTTAACAAACCATCTAGAAGTAAAAATGCAGTTAACCATACACAATGAATAGCATTTCAATTTAGAAATAGATCAGCTGCTCACTTCCACCACCCTTTCAGTCCAGAGGAAATGAAATCCCTTAAAAACCAATAAAGTTCAGTTGCCTTTTGAAAAAGCAGCTTTGGGACAACTATGACTTGAATGACTGAGAATCTCCATAGAGATTTACAGTATCTCTAGTTTTTCTTGCATTTGTAGGTAGCACTAAAAAAGAGAAAAAATGGGATGGATTAGGGTTTACAGATCCCATCTGCTGAGGACCTGGCCAATCAGACAAACAACTTTGCTAGAAGTTACCGTACATCCTTGCGATCAAGCTGTGGACCCATCATTATAGACCAAAAAACAGCAAAATGAAAGCAGCTTCTAAAAAGCTCTCTATAAAGTGGGATAGACAGAATCAGAAACTGGCTAGGATGGAAAAGTCATGGAGACAATGTGGAGGTCATTTTCTCAGACTAAGTAGGAGTAGAAACGCAGATAAGGACACTGCTGTTTACTGCATACAGGAAGAAACTAGGAGTTCATCTGAGAAACAGATCAGCTGCTCACGTCCACTACACTTTCAATCCAGAGGAAAGAGAATCTGTCAGGAAATTGCGCAGCAGGTGTCTAAATGAGGGCAGAGACGCTGACACGAACTTGTAGTTTTTGTTTAAATTAATATATTTTATATCAATATTTACAGTAAACAAGATAGTCAGGCTAACAGGGTCATCCTGAGGTAAAATTACAGAGCATACAGAGGAAAAAAGGCGGGAAAGAAGGAAAGTCCTCCTTTACACTCACAGTAACCAATCACAGCATAGAATGCCTCAGACAAGAAACAGCTCTCTCCAACCAATCAGCTATAACTGTAACTTCTGACTCATTTTACAACCCCACTGTTCCAGCTACTAAAGCAATAGGACACAGTCAAACTAGAGTCTTGGACTTTAAGAAAGCTAATTTCAATAAACTTAGAGAGAGCTTGGGAAGGATTCCATGGATGAGAATCCTCAAGGGGAAAACAACTTAAGAAGCTTGGGAAATTTTGAAAAGAGAGATAATAAAAGCCCTTCTTTTTCTTGTGCCATATTCGTTATCAGACGTTGGCGATCATGTTGGCAATCCTGTTCTTATCAGCAGCCGCATGAAAAAGTGCTGCTGAGTTTTGTCCAAATTAGTCCTTTAGATTTTGAAGCCACAATGTTCTTCTTCTGGATCTCTTTTATTTCGAAGTGTTGTTCCCCCTCCACCATGATTGGAGGTGGTGGGGGGGGGATTTTTGGCCGTAGAGGTGACTGATGCTCTCTTTTCAGCAAGCTGCAATGAAAAATTGGGTGTATTTGCCTGAGGTTTTTGGGTAATTCTAATTCTACTGTTACTGGATTTATGATCCTTTTAATTGGAAAAGGTCCTATATATTTTGGTCCAAGTTTTTTACAGGGCTGTAGGGACTTTAGGTATTTTGTAGATAAGTACACCATTTCTCCTATAATGAATGGTGTAGGCTCAACCCTTTTTTTATCGGCTTGTGCTTTGTATGCCCGCCTAGCTTCATCTAGTGATTTTCTGACTATTGGCCAGGTGTTTTGTAGGTTTTCCATCCATTCTTTCAGTGAAGGGATCGTTGGTTCTTTTGGGGTTAACTCTGGCATAGGGTTGAAACTTTGGCCGTTGGCTATTTGAAAAGGAGTGTAGCCTGTGCTGGAGTGGACTGCATTATTGTAGGCAACTTCTGCAAAAGGAAGTAAGTCCGTCCAATCACTCTGTTGGAAATTTAAAAAACATCTCAAATATTGCTCAAGTACCGACTGGCAGCGTTCCGCTTGTCCATCTGTCTGAGGGTGATGGCTAGATGTCAGTCCCTGAGTGGTCCCTAAGAGGGATAAAAATTCCTTCCAAAATGTAGACGTAAATTGCACTCCCCTATCAGAGATGATGCGTTGGGGTGCCCCGTGCAATCTGTAAATGTGCTGGATAAAAAGTTTTGCTAAGGCCTTTGCAGTGGGAATTTTTTGGCAAGGGATAAAGTGCACCTGTTTGGAAAATAGGTCCGTGACTGTCCAGATAACAGTATTCCCATTGCTTTCAGGCAATTCCACTATAAAATCCATGGCTATTTCCCTCCAGGGGGCTGAGGGACTTGCCACTGGTTGTAACAGCCCTGGCGATTTCCCTTGCAACCTCTTTGCTGATGCACAGGTTGGGCAGCTGGCAACATAACTTTCTATGTCCTTTTTTATTGATGGCCACCAAAATTGCCGTTTAATTAAGTGTAAAGTTTTTACAAATCCAAAATGCCCTGCTGATTTTGTGTCATGGCAAAGTTGCATGAAAGTTAGTCTTTGAGTTGTTGGTATATATAACTTTTCCCCTACCCAAGGCAATCCGTCTCTCATTGTGCACACATGTTTGTTTTTCTGGAACCAATCATC